GGAGGAGGAGAGAGGGAGAAGAAAGTGATGGATAGGGTAAAAATATGGTGTATGGAGAGCAGAGAGATTTCTGGGAGATTAAGACCTTCTTATTCACACTAAAGGCAAGCATAATAATTTTTTCTTATTCTGTGATCCTAGCGTTTAAAAAATGGAAGTACGCTCCTGTAACAATTTGTTGCTGGTAGTGACAACAATAGTTAGTAGTAGTTATTAGCTGGTTGTTTTTAAGGGAATGTGTTTGTTTGCCATGCCTACAAATTTCATTCTTTCTCAGAAGAAAAACATACCATTGTAGTAGATGTGAGACGCCGTGATGGAATCGGACACTGGTCTGTGGCTGTGATTAATAGTGTATAACGCCCATGGCTGATTTCGTAATCCAATTCTTTCATGGTACGTATTTGTCCCTGGAATGACAGCCCAAAATTTAAAAACTTTGAATTTTCAATAGTGAAGATTGATGGACTGTGAAATTTGGTTGTGATGCACCTGTGTGGTGGTGCTAAGTGAAAAAAAAAGTGGTGATGCACTCACTGTAGTGCTGTTGATGTGAAAGGTGTTCATGATGTTTCCCTCTGTGATGGCGTATGTAATGGTCCCATTCAAGCCTTCATCCTGATCCATAGCACTGATGGTGATAAGAACGGCATTCCATGTGCCTGGACCTTCATCCAAAGTGACTTCATACTGCTGTTGCTGGAATACTGGAGGATTATCATTCTCATCCAGGATGGTAACATAGACTGTAGTTGTAGCCTATAGATGATAAATAGCAAGACATTTAGAATCATGCAGAGGAGGAAAAAAAGGAAGGCAATCAGATGGGAACCATATAAATATTCAAATACCTTTCAATTAGTAATCTTTTTGAATGTCTCTTGTTAATGTTCCATCAAAGGATTTATAAAGTTGATTTAAAAAAAAACCCCAGATCTAATGCATATTTACCTATAAGCAAACACCACTGAATTTCATCAAATTTATTTTGGGAATTTTTAGTATTTTTAGAATTAGACCTAGTGGGAGAATGCAAGCTTGTTTGGAATGTACTTCATTTCTTACTAATTACTTACTAATATCAGAAGGCACGCAACTAATGTTTTTAATTGTTTTTTTATTTATACATTTTCTTCTATCTTACCCTTCTATCCCCAACAATCCCCACTATCTGGAACTACTGCAACGTGCAGAGGCAAAAAATGGGGCGTGCGGATGCCAAAAATGCAATGCGCAAAGACCAAAAATG